CTCCCTTGGTTTCTCCCTCTGCCCGTCCTTCCCCTCTGCCCTTCCAGGTCTTTCCTGGGAGCACTTGCTTCATAATTCACTTCCACATCAGTCCTCATCTCCTGTTCTGCCGCCAAAGAACCAGACCTAAGGCAGAGCCTTTCTCAGTCCTTCCAAGTCTTCCTGAGGGTTTGAAGTCCCAGTTCTGAACCCGGTTACACAATGGGAAAGCCGAGAAAAAAATAGCGACTCCCGACGAGCAACTTATCTCTCCCTGTAGCTGAGTACTTTGTGTCCTCACAGAAATTTGTTTTTTATTTTTATTTATTTTCTTCTTTACCGTTGGACAGAGATCACTGCAAAATTGTTTGGATTCAGCAGTCACCCCCTGGACATTTGTTATTTGATACCAAAGGTAAAAATACCTTCCCAGATCACGTCCATGACGCTTACTTACCAACTCCAACGACTCCTACCACTCCCTGTGGTTCCAACGTCAAAGGGCACAAAAGGACATATAATGAAAAGTCTTCCTCCCGTCCCATGCCAGTCCCCAATGGTACCAAGCACAGGCTTGCAGTGGCACAGCCCCAGAGGAGCTAGAATCCTGCCTTGCCTCTTAGAAGCTACATAACCTGGGGCAAATTTCTTTACTCTTTTGAGCCTCAGGTTCCTAACCTGTAAGTTACTACCCTAAGATGGGTCTTGCAGAAAGGATACAAGAGCAGTAGGAGGTAACTTGTGTTAAATGCTGGGTAGTTAGCAAGTCTCTGATCCATTTCCCCTCAACGCCCAAGGCCATACACAGCGCTCTGACTCCCCGCCCCCAGCACTGCATGAGCTCTGCGCATGCGTCTCCCCTGGGCCTGAACTGCCCACGCCCATCTCTCCCGTTCCCACGCCTTGTTCCTCCGGTGAGTCCTGTCAGGCTTCAATTCAAACATGACTTTCTTTTCCTGCGTCCAACACTAAGGAGTTCACATGGTAGTAACACTGGGTGCCGGTGGGAGGAGGAATGGGGGGATACACCCACAACTAATGGAAGCAGAGCGCACTGTGTTGGGGAGGGACGCGCTTGTAGCCCTGGCTTGGGCGAGGCAAACGGCATTACATGTAACCAAAATGTTTGTACCCCCATAATATCCTGAATAAATAATAATAATAAAACAAAAACATGACTTTCACTGTGAGTTAGGCATTTTTGCTGTCTCTGCTCCCGAGGGTTCCTTGCATATCCCTGCACATCAGTACATTTTGTTCCAGGTTGGTATGGCATGGCGTGGCAATGATGGGTTCACAAGGGTGAAGTTTTTTCATCTCTGTATCTCATGCCCCAATTATATTAATAACTCCTGGCACATAGTAGATGAATTATAAATGTTGATGAATGAATGAAAAAGCAGTCTTCATTGGTCAGAATGCCTAGAAACTGTGGGGAGAAAGCTGTGGGCCAGGTGCAGTGACTCATGCCTGTAATCCCAGCACTTTGGGAGGCTGAAGCAGGAGGACTGCTTGAGGCCAGGAGTTCAAGACAGCCCGAGCAACATAATGAGACCCCGTCTCTATAAAAAAAAGGAAAAATTAGCCAGGCATGGTGGCACACACCTGTAGTACTAGCTACTTGGGAGGCGGAAGCAGGAGGGCTGCTTGAACCGGGGGTTTTGAATTGCACTGAGCTATGATGACACTACTACACGCTAACACTAGCCTGGGCAAGACCTTGTCTCTAAATACATAAATAATAAAAAGACTAAATTATTTTTTAAAGAAAGAAAGAAAGAAAAAGAAAGCTATGCACTAGAGTTAATTTTATTTTCATGTTGTTTGGGAGTACTAGAAATTCTACCTTATTTCAACTTTTGTTCCTATCATTTGAGGAGGACTGAGTCCAAATTCCCTTCTTAGTAACTGGAATACAGTGACTGTAGTCTATTCCTTCTTTGGCTTCAGCTGTGGAAATGTCTCAGAATCTGAAAATCATTGCCCATGGATGAGGATTGTGGATGTATTATTAATATAAACTGCAGAAAGCAATAGTGATTGGGCTGCATTTGAATGGGCCCCAAGGCGTAGCCTGAATCGTTGTAGGAGCATTTAAGGATGTTTAGATTCTGATTATTGAGGTTTTATTATAATGTTGTATTGTACATTAATAGCCATTCTATCAAAGATTTTGAAGCCTGGAGGCTCAAAAATTAAATTACCTATTATTTTATTTTTTTAAGTGATCTAGGCCTGGTTCCTAGCCCCTGAAAATCTCCTCTATTCACTGCTGGGGCTAATAATTTTCAGCTTTAGGTCACCCTTGCTGGTCTGCATTATCAATTATGACTGGAAGTAAAAAGGATTTTTCAGGAGTTTCAGCTCTATTCACAGTTGTCATTTAATCTTGTGTTATTAATACTTCTTGCTCTGCTACTGGGTCTCATTTTTCTCCTTGCACCTGAGCCTTGACTATAACCTGTTTGGCACTTCAGTTTCCAGGACTGGGAACCCATCTTATTTCTGTCCATCTCTTGCTCAGGACAGATGCCCACAAACCTCAGTCCACTATGCTTTGTCTGTTGCCTTCCAGAGTTTGTCCCACATTGCTCAATAATTCAAACATTTGAGGGCCCAATACTGCCAAGCACCAGGCCAGGAAGGCCACAAACATTATGTTAGCATGCTTAACTTATAGGCAAAGAAAGACAGGCACAGAAGGAATGAAAACAGCCCATTGTCACAAAGTGTATACAGCTGGCAACAGAAGTCGGGTCTGGGAATTGTCAGCTACTTGAAGGCAAGATTCAGGTTTGATTCACTTTTGTTCTCAGGATATAGGCCTTCAAAGAAAGGGACAAGGATATGACACATTAAGAGTGTATTTCATGTCTTGGCTACTGTGAATAAAGCTGTAATGGACATGGGAGTGTAGGTATCTCTTTGAAACTCTGATTGAAATTCTTTTGGATACATTCCCAGAAGAGGGATTGCTAGCTCATATAGTAGTTCTATTTTTAATTTTTGGAGGAATCCCCATATTATTTTCCAGAGTGGCTGTACCATTTTACATTCCCACCAACAATGAACAAGTGTTCCACATCCTCACCAACACTTGTTATCATTTGTCTTTTTGATAATAGCCATCTTAACAGATGTAAGATGATACGTCACTATGGTTCTGATTTGCATTTTCCTGATGATTAGTGATGTTGAGCATCTTTTCATATTACCTGTTGGCCATTTGTATGTCTTCTTTGAAGAAATGTCTATTCAGGTTCTTTGTTTATTTTTAAATTGAGTTATTTGGGTTTTTGCTATTGAGATGTAGGACATCTTTATATATTCTGGATATCAGCTCTTTATCACATATGTGGTTTGCAGATCTTTTCTCTCATTCTGTAGGTTGCCTTTACCTTTTTGGCATTGTTTCCTATGCCATGCAAAAGCCTTTTAGTTTGACTTAATCCCATTTATCTATTTTTGCTTTTTTTGCCTGTCCTTTTGGTGCCATAGCCAAGAAATCATTGTCAAGGCCAATGTTAAGATTTTCCCCTGTGTTTTCCTCTAGGAGTTTTATGATTTCAGGTTTTATGTTTCAATCTTTAATCTACTTTGAGCTGATTTTTGAATATATATAAGATAGGCATTTAATTTCATTTTTTGCATGTGGATATCCAGTTTTCCCAGCACTATTTATTGAAGAGACTGTCCTTTCCCCATTATGTATTCCTAGCACCCTTGTCAAAGATCAGTTGACCATAAATGGGGGAATTTATTTCTGGGCTCTCTATTCTGTTCTGTTGGTCTATATGTTTTTATGCCAGTACCATACAGTTTTGATTACTATAGCTTTGTAATATATCTTGAAATCAGGAAGTCGTGATGCCTCCAAATGTCCACACGGATGAATAGACAAAGAAAATGTGGTATTTACATGCTAATAAATATTATTTGGCCTTAAAAAAGAAAGAAATCCTTCCATATTTGACAACATGGATGAAACTGAAGAACATTATGCTAAGTGAAATGTACCAGACACATTAGGACAAATACTATATGATTCTATTTATAATGAGGAATCTAAAATAGTCCAATTCATAAAGGCAGAGAGTAGAATGGCAGTTTCCAGGGGCTGGGGGGAGGGGGAAATGGGGATGTGCTGGGCAAAGGGTACAGAGTTTCTGCCATGCACAATGAGTAAGTTCTAGAGATATACTGTACAGCATAGTCCCTATAGTTAGCAATATGGTATTACATACTTAAAAATTTGCTCAGAGGGTAGAGCTCATGTTATGTGTTCTTATCACAAAAAATAAAATAAAGAGGGCATGAGGAAATTTTTGGAGGTGATGGACATGTTTATGGTATTGATTGTGGTGATAATTTCATGGGTATACACTTAGCTCCAAATTGATCGAATTGTATACATTAAATATGTAAAGCTTTTTGCATGTCGATCATTATCTTAATAATTTTTTTTAAAAAAACTGTATTTCACATGCATAATAAATGTGCACTGAAGTACCTAAGACACAGACAAAGCCAGGCAGCCACATTTCCACAGGAAGAGTTACATAACTAAGGAAGAACTTGTTATGGGATCTCACGCTGAGCACACCTTAAAAAGCACAGCGGGACATGCCCGTATGGCATTCTTTTGTGCCACCAAGGGAAGACTCTTGCTTGATGATTCTACTTGGACTTCAAGACTACAAACTCATGTGTCTAGTTCATTTCAAAGGGAATGAGATGGAGACCCAGGAAGGTGGCTAGAGTGGGACTATCTCATAACTATCACTGTTTTTCAATGATGGATGGGTATTTTGTTCTTTGTTTCTGTGTTGCCTCATGTTTGTCCATAGATGCCATATATGATAATTAACCTATCTGGCTAAAAATGTGTGGCTATATTCTTAAGGAGCTCTCAGCCCCTGCAGCAGTAGTAAGCAGTAATATAATGTGTTGAAATAATTGTAATTGATTAAAATAGTACCAAACTGCAAACACATCATACTCAAACACAAGGCCATGGCTACCTGGTGGCAAGAAGAGGGTATGTGTGAATTGGGCTGAACCAGGCTTCCTTCCTCCGTGGCATGCTGTCATAGATTAAAAGGTCTTTCTCCGTCAATACAACCAGGGCTGGTTTCCACTGTTTCTCGCTCTCCCCTGGCACCTAAAACAGAAAGCAGAGAACTGTCAAACAACAGCCCGAGAAAAGGGTGATTGGAAAGGAGAAGTTGGAATCGCCCCAATAAATAGACTTAACAGTAGGAACGTCTTTTGATTCAGGTTACAAAATCAAAATGGAAAGAACCCAATCATGATCTCATGATTCCTGATTCTTGAAAATATCTGTTGTCTCAAGGGCCCTGGGGACATACAGTCAAGACAGCCAAGAAGCAGCCCAGCTGCCAAACGTGTCACTTTTTCTCACCCGCCAGTCAGCCCTGAATCTTTACTTCATCGTGGGAGGCAAAGGGTTGGGGGAAAAAGCACTCCCGGCTGATTCTCCAGTACAGTGTGTGTGTTTTTGCTATGAAATGGTAAGGTTTGAAAGTTTTTGAATAAATATCCAAAAGCTCTGAGAAATGTACTATGGAGGCAAGTGTCTACCCAGACAGGGGGAAACATCATAGTCTCTTCCCTGAGTCTTTGGTTCTATGATTCAGGCACCATCTTGACATTTCTCTTGTTCTGTTGAATGTTCAGTTCCATTCACCACAGATAATTCTTTAACTCAAGGGCTGAGATGACCTGGTGTGGATGTGAAAAGATTAAAGCATCAGTAGGGACCACTGGGCCAGATGACCTTTAAAGTCCCTCCTAATCCAGTCTGTGAAGCTTGGATCTTATCTCATGAGCCATTTTCCTTGGCCCAGTGTTTACAACCTAAATGTTCTTCCAGCTGTGAAAATGCTCTCCCTCCAATTTGAACTCTGGACCCCTGGAATAAATCTTTATGCTCATTTTGGAAAAATTCAATGCTTTAGCCTTGCTACTCAAGACACAGGCCACGTTCCAGTAGCATCAGCATCACCTGGGAGCTTGCTAGAAATGCAGAGTCTCAGGCCCGTCCAGCTCTGCTGAATCAGAATCTGCATTTTAACAAAATCTTCAGGTAACTCATATGCTCATTGAAGAGTATGAAGCACTGCTCTAGATGAGGTTAAGATTCTCTTTGACACTGGCAACTAATTCGGTGAGGATTCAATCCTCTTGTAACAAGCTGCAACTCAAAATCTATTCAGAATTAACCTAGGCAGTAGCTAAATAAATGATAACGCTAATTCCTTCCCTTTCTGTTCTCATTATTACTTTATCTTAAGTTCCACAGCGGCATCTGTATTGAGGTGGAAGCAGGTGTGTGTGGCTTTTGCTTTAAGCTAACGCTCATGACCAGTGTACTAGGAATGAGTCATGCAAGTAGAGATGATGTGAAGGATGGCGTAAGGATTCAGTTTTGTAGGCTCTACGTATCAGCTGCCTAAGTCTGAGTCCCAGCTCTGTTGTTTATTGCCTGTGTGACTTTGGAGAAGTTATTATTCTCTGTGCCTCTATTTCCTTACTGATAAGGATAACATCATATCCAACCGTGGTGACAAATGCCAACTCTGGGGCTAGATAGAAGGCCTGAATAGGCCGGGTGTGGCAGCTCACACCTGTAATCCTAGCAGTCTGGGAGGCTGAGGTGGGAGGATCACTTGAGGCTAGGAGTTCGAGACCATCCTGAGCAAGAGCAAGACCCCATCTCTACAAAAATTAGAAATATTAGCTGGGCATGGTGGTGTACAACTGTAGTCCCAGCTACTTGGGAGGCTGAGACAGGAGAACCACTTGAGCTTAGGAGTTTAAGGCTGCAGTAGGCTACACTGCACTGTAGCTGGGCAACAGAGCAAGACTTTATCTCCAAAAAAAAAAAAAAAAAAAAAGGCATGAACACAAATCGATGTTGCAGTGTTGTACAATTTACTAGCTATGGGGTTTGGGCAAGTCAAATAATTTCTTTGTATCTTGGTTTCTGTGTCTGTAAAATGGGAAATAATAGTACCTATAACAGAGGGTTGTTATAGAGATTAAATGAGTTAAAATTTGTGAAATGCTCAGTGTAGTACAGAATAAGCAGCATTTAAGTACCTGCTAAGTAGCACTTACCTCATAATTCTACAGTGGGGATGAAACAGTGTGTGAAATGTGCCGTTAGCATGGCAGCTGGAAGGTGGTGAAGCCCTCAGTAAAACTTAAGATTACGAAATTGTGGCAGACCCACCAGTTTTTAAACATGTCAAAAAAGGTGTCCTTTGGGAAATGGTGTCACGATGACAAGGTAGTGACTTTCCTTTGGAAAAATTATAAGGCAAGTCAAGAATATCTTTGGTGCTGACAATTTCAATACCTTCTCCTCTCATCCTTTCCTGGTAAAGTTCTCCTGGTAAGAATTCATTGCATGATGATCAGCTTTATAGTTTAATGCCTTCCTTCCAACAATTCCAAACAAAAACTCCCTTTCTAAAGAAGAGATTTCCTCACTATAAAGCTATTTATACTAGAATGTGAATGACTGCCTGACTTATTCCTCCCTCTTTATGCATTTTATATATATTTTAAAAATCTAGCTTTAGCTTATTGCTTTTGTAAGAAGGCTTCTTTTTTTCCCCCCAAGAGAACAATAGCATCTTCAAGAAATCAAAATGAATCATTAAAGAAGGCAATGTACCAGACCCTACAAGGTGAATAAACTATGGTCTCAAGGCATAGAGTGTTTGGGGGGGGGGTTCCAAATAAATTTTTTCCAGCTTCTACATTAAACTTAGTAAATTGCTTTTCCAGCTCATTAAACAGGATTGGAGAAGCTACAAATGATTCTCCCAAAGTGACTATCTTACTTACCTAGTCAGATCCAATCCATTAACTTTGACCAGAATCAGTCATTTAAATGTAAAAATGACTAAACATCATTCTTCAAGAACAATATTAAGCTTGAAAAATAAACCTCACCAGTAAATACCAACAGTAAAATAAAGACCTATTTACTGGTGGAATCACAAACTCATCCACATGTCAAGTATACGTTTAATATGTAGGTTTAAATAATTCCAGAGCTCTAAAACATTTTGTAGATTGTTGAAGAGCCCTGTGTGGATATGGTAAACTTGGCTGTGAGAATACTTAGAGTGGGTATTTTCCCCCATTCCTGTGTGCAGAGCTGTCATTTTAATACTGTGTAAATCCTTAGGGGTAGAATTCTTCCCATGAGGACAAACGACTTTCCAAGAGAGAAAAAAAAAACCATCATGTTAAAGAACAAGGTTTTTAAAAGCATACCTTGTGCTATGTAAGCCTCATTATTTCAAGCCTTCGAAGGATAATTTTTGTCAAGCTGAAGTATTTGTGGTATTATCCTAATGACAACTTCCATTACAAATCCAGCTTTCCTGCCACTCAAAGACATTCCAATGTTAATGCAACAGTTCTGGGGTTGTGTCTGCACTTTATTAAAACATGACACCTGAAACAGATGTGAAGTGTCCGTCTCCATCCCAGCTTCCTCCCCGGGATGCTGTAGTCATCAGTTTGTCAAGAACTGATCATGTTTTAATGAAGAAGATGAAGGAAAGGAAACAGAGAAACTAAAAACCATTCAATTCTGAAATTACTCCCAAGCACGACTTTGGTGCGCTAAATCCTGTCTGCATATTCACTTCTGCAAAGCGTGAGAGGAAAGGTTTACAAAATGGCAAGAAGAATTTAAGAGGTGGTGGTAAGAAGTTACTGGTAAGAATTGTGGGAAGTGGAATCATTGAATCCTCAATTTGAGACAGGTCTCATAAGTCACCTAGTTCAGTGGCTTCCAAACTCTTTAAATTCATTGATCCCTCTGTTCAGATTAAATCACAAGTCATAGAACAATACGTGAAACAATTGAAAGAGAGTTTCTATGGGTTCACATCCGGGTTGGGATCCCGGCACCCGAGTGACTTTATGTCTTTGTCCTGGCACCACGATACCTCTAAGGGTCATTGCTGGCAATCCTTAGAATACAATTTGAAAACTCATCTTGTCTTTTCTAATACACCTAGAATCTTCACATTACTTCCAAAGTTTTACTGAAACCCTTCTGTGTCTCTGTTGTAGGTACTTCCAAAGAAAAGAATGATGCCATTGCCTCTCAGGCAGAGTTGTAAGGATTAAATGAATTAACACACATTGAGGGCTTAGAAAAGTGTCTTGACATAGTAAGTAGGCAAGCCTTAAGATATATCAGCTATTTTTTTACTATTACATTAAGGTATGAATAGTGAATATCAAATTAAATATCTGATTGAACTTGGGCAAGAATTACTTGCCTTTGTCAGGTCAAAATGTCCTCATTTGCCAAACGATGGGACTGAATTATTGCTAAGGCTTCTTCAACTTCAAAACCTAATCATTTTTTTAAGTTTAAAATTCCCTGCTACTAGGCCAGCTGGAACTGCTTCAGCTATTAATAATAGAACTCTTCCTTTACAGCTCTTCTTTGTTCAGTATAGTCTGTTGCTAGAGCAAAAAACAATGAATGGGTCCATTTTTCTTGCCCTCATACCACTCACTCCTTCCAACAAACTTATTTTCTATTTTCTACTTGAGAATGCATGGCAGGAAGAGCCCATAGTCTTTAAAGCCAAACAGTATGTCTTTGAAATCTGGCTTTGCCACTTCCCAGCTGATTACTTAACTCAGATTACTTAACTGCTATAAGCACTTGTTCACTGACATGTTACACAACGAGAATGGCCTCCCATGCACATTTTGTGAGGATCAAATAGACAATGTGTATAAAGTTCTTGACGCACGGTGGGTACACAAAATGTGAAGCTGCCCACTTGCTCACCTCAAGTGTGTGCTTTCTTACAGCTCTACTAAGCAGGAAAAAAGGTATAGATGGAGGGAGAGCAACTAATGCAGAGTAGAAAAGCTCATGAAAGAAGAAGGTCCAATGGTACTTTTGTGTTGGAGATCATGGTTATCTCAACAACTCTTTGAGTCTGTTTCACCTGAGGTTACTAGGTATTTAGAGCATAGGACACGATATCAGTAATAATAGTTAACATTGATCAACTTCCAAATGCTTTACAAACAGTAGATAATTAATCCCTGCACCAACTCCCAGGGAGACAGACAAAGATTATCTCCACC